TTTGAAAACGTTCGAAATAGAAGGACACATTGTAAGCAAACGAAGCCAAATAATAAACAGATTATTTATTAATATCGCACAGAAACACCAGTTTGAATTAAGCTGGTCATGCACAACTAACATGAAGGGAATAATTCGGCATCTGATGTTATCGGAAAAAAAGGTATTTTTATTGTAGTAATTGAGAACGACTATGGGTACACAGAGTGAAGTTAACTTGTACGATAGATTGGTGTATCTTTCTGAACATCCAACTCCCTGCGTACTGTTGCGCCACAACTGCAGGATGATTTTTCGTTGTTGGGGTCTTCAGACGACATTGAATGTATGAATCAATGATAAGATTTGTAGTTATCTTTGTGGGTTCTACGCTACTAACGTCAATAAGCTTGGCTGAAAAGCATTTTCATTGAAGAACCTTATTGTAACATTTGAGAAAAAACAAATTAGCTAACAAGTTTGTTTTGGCTAACTTCATTTTCTGGTTAATATCATTATATAAATAGATAACAGGCGTATCATGTTTGCATAGCCTGTGGTGTGTGTGCTGATTTCATTGATGTATGTTATTGGCTGATTATGTGTGGTTTACAAATGAAACTGAGTATTAAGTGGATGGGAATGTGGATGTGGTACATGAGGATTAGGACGTAGTCAAGGTTAACCAATTCCTGTTTGGGTCACGGAGTCAGTCGAATGGATCATGAGGTCATGGATAGGGTCACCTCCAACAGTGATGCAACTGAATTCACACCGGGGCCATGGCGGTTAAATTGCTTTAGCGAATTGCATTTGGGAACAATGCAATAGATTAAACAGACGTAAAAACCACTTATGGAATGAGTATTGACTATAGATGACAGACGAGCAAATACACACACCTGGCGAGCTGTAATTACCACGAAACCGGTCGTGTACCTACAGGGAAAGTTTGTCTGGTCATTCGCATACTATTAATGACATCATATTTCACATTATTCCCCATCTTAAGTGCCAGAAAACCAAAAGGACTTGCACAAACTAAATGAAAAGTTACCGAATGGTCGGATGTTCCTCATGAGCAAAAGGCCACACAGTCACTCACTATAAAAAAAATAACATCAGGTCAAGTTAGTCCGAATTCTTCACTGAATCAAAAAACGATCGCTTTACCGTTCAAAATACGAAGACGAGTTCAAAGCGAGACGCAAATGATTTTCCCGTAGTTATTGTGGTGCCACGCACACACACACACGCACCACTTCATCCGCACCCCAGTATACCTCTCATCTTCTATTAAAATGCAACTTACATTCCGTTGATCGCAATCGGAACCAACAATTCATCACCATCAATTGATTCACGGGCTCGGATGCACGGGAGAGAGTGTTTTTGTATGGTAGGCTTCACGAGGGGCCGGATAACCGATCCTACTAGAATAGCACCACTATTCATAGCCCATCCAGAACCTGGGAAAGACCTCTGGGTGAACATATGAATCGATTATGGTACCTGATAGCTAACAGGAACAAATCCCTCTTTCAATGTATAGTTAGTTTAAGTGATTACCGAAAAAGAATCAAACCCAAAGCGCGAATTGCTCTGGCATTTACGCATTCAGAGTCAAGCGAAAAAAGAGGACCGGAGATTCACGATTTCCACTGAGAAAGAGCTGAAAAAAAGCGTCGCTTATTTCTGTTTCCACATTTAGGTAAAGAATTCAGAAATTCTTCAGCGGAAAAGTAATATGACCAGTGGATGGATTTATCAGTAAGGTCGTTGAAGAATAAGTAAAAAATGGAACTGTTCCATCAAAATCAGTCAGTCAATACAATGACAAGTAACGGAGCTAGTCTCCCCACAGAGCGATCGAGGTGCCCACATGACGCATAGCAGTTCCTTTACGTGTGCAATCAAATGCGCAAGGGGTATTCTCAAAAGGAAAAGATCAATTATAAAACTCCTCGGAATTCGATTCGGTTTGAATGTATGGGACCAATTCATACACGAGGTCCAAACAGACAGTAAGAGGCACAAGATCAGGTCTATCAGAATGCTGGGGGTGGGTGAGAAAGCATACAAAGTTCGTAAAAAAATACACATTTATTTAAAAAATACCGTATATGATACCGACTAAACAACTTTAACCATAAGCTCTGTTGACTACTTGAAGTTTGCACCGCAAACCTTAATTGCAAGGTTACCGTAAGACCAAACACAAGCCAAGTAGCCTCGTCACATCTACCCCAGACACAGCAATCAATCAACATTTCCCAGACTCGAAATCAGTCATATTCTGCAAGGTCAAAATACCAATTTTATCCCTGCCGTTTTCAAGCGAGAAATTACTCAATTGCAGAAATTTTTAATTAATTTCTGTATCTTCAGTAGCTAAATAGTGAGACATCAACTTGAGCCGTAGGGAATGTGATTATCTTCTGCGTTTCACAAATACGGACAGACAGGTATATCAGTTCATTCGTATACTAGTTATGTGAAACACTTCAATTCTGTTCGTTATGTAACGACATAGTGTCATCAGAGACGATGAGCCGTAGTCATATCAGATTAACATGAAAAATTAGCATGATAACACCGAGGTAGAGCGAATATTGATAATGATAAATGATCGAGAACTGTCTAGCTTTATAGTAAATAATTAATTTCAGGACTTCCTCGTCATTTATGAAAAAAATTTAGTGCTCAATGTA